TCAACAAACAATAAAAAAACAAATGAAATCTCGTGAAGAAGCACAAAAACAATGTATTTGGTATATCTATTCCACTTTAAAAGGAATTGATTTAGTTCGTGCACGACAAAATCCACGACAATTTTTACCATCATACTTATGTAATGATCAAGATTTACAAGGAATCAAAATTGAAATTATTCGTTTATCAGACTATCCATGGGATACAAGTTAATCTTCCTCGTTGAACATCGAGAAAATCATATTTAGAGACGGAAACAAAAAAAAAATAAATAAATAGCTTGTTTTCTTGTATTCGTTTTTCATCAATAAATATTATCTATTGCTTTCCATTCTAGATTATCTGGTTTCTTTCCTATCGATCTACTAATGGAAAATATCTATGAAATGTTCGATTCATCGACATTAGAAAAATTGTATCAACAATATTGTCAACAACCACAACAACAACGACAACAACAAAATAACTCTTGCCATTGTGAACTGTCAGCTTCATTTGATTTACAATGTAATATAAATCATGATTTCAAATTAATGGCCATAGACGAACATGATCTTCTGGTCGAGATCGATGATTATTCAGAGATCATAGTGGACAAGACGAAAAGCGATGATAAAAACTTAGAAAAACAAGGAATAGAAAAATGGAAAGAATTAATTCGAAGTTATTACGATCATACCAAACAATTGGAACAATTACCAAAGAAATAATTAAATTCCTCTTTTTGTTTTCTTTTTCATGTTCTATGTTTAGTTTTTAGTTAATTATTCTAAGATCGATAGATCATCTAGATAGTCATGTATTTCATTGAGATGCCTAATGTTGTTCATTTCTTCGATGCCTTCTAGATTTCATCAGTTCATATACAATGATGGCTGATCATTCAATACTTTTTGATTTTCTAAATCGTTGAATGAATCGATATATGCATTGATCCGTCACATGGACCAAGACGAGAACCTGATTGATACGAATATGCTCAATTTAACGAAAATCATACTTTGAGAAAATCAAAACAAAAAAACAGATTTGATGTTCAACTTTCTCAAACAATAATGGAAGTGAATAATGGCAACCTTCAATAATAGTACAATCTCTCGTAATTAAATTCGACAAAGAAGATATCTCAATTTAGTGGCTATTCGAATGAAGAAAATGACAAAGGCTGAGAAAGACAACCAAAAAAAGAAAAGATTCTCTCCTACTAATGGAAGATATGCTACTAGTTCTCAGAACTTTTTTCATCGCCCTTGATATATATCTAGAGAGAGAAATTATGCATACAACTAGGACATTATAAGCATGAAAAGAAGAAAATAAAAATAAATCAATCTATATTGAATTATTTATAGATTTATTTCATTTATTTTCATCATGAATTCTGATTAAAAACGTGCTTCAATCATGTTTCACGATTCTCAAAATCAAGCTTCAGGTAGATTTAATATTAGTAGAATATTCGTACTGATTATTTTATGTCAATCCTATACAATTTTAGCATCCGGTCATATATTACCTGCCTTACAGCAGTCTTGTTCCAGTGCACGACATGCCATTCTACCTTCTTATCCAACGCTCAACAATGGTGATGATATCCATTTATTATTAGCCAATATTCCAAGTATATTCTTTTAAAAATGAGTCTATCATTGAACTAGTTTCATTGGTTTATTTGTGTTCTGTCACACTATAGTACATCATCTCAATCAAGAAGATTTAGAACGAAGATGTAAACAAGGATATCATCAACCTACCTCGATAGCACCAAGCAATGATCATGAAAGACAAATATTTTTCTTGAGTCGTTTATGGAATGTCAACCGAGATATTTTAGATTTTAATTTTCGGTGTCTGATCAAATTAGCTAAATTATTAGCAGCCAATCGAATTCATTGTTTTTCTACTAGACCCGATCAAGAATATCTTGATCATGATGACTATTCTTTGGCATTGGAATTTTTCCTTCAACTCGATCTTCATCTCTTCTATATGAAGACTTGTTCCTATCGAGGTGCACAACCTATTGTAGTCGGTGACAAAAGTTTGTTTTGTCTAAGTGAAGCACAGGCTCGATATGGAATGACACGATGTCGTCAAATATCCTGTTGTTTATGTTATCCATCTTACAAATTGATGTATCGTCAGCATCAACCAATCATTCAATTTGGATCACATCAACAACATACTTTTGTCAATGGATATCGATCTATTCTCAATTGTCCAGCAACATGTACAACAAGAAATATTATTTATGTCCTTACTTGTCCATGTCATCAAGTGGATTATATTGGTGAAACAAGTTCATCGTTAATTCATCGTCTCGCTTGTAACGGAAAGATGCAATATATATATCATTTGTTCTATTTAGAGAATACTGTTGTTTGCCTAGATCATCAAGAACATGGAAATCGTATCGTACAAGAATTTCTTTTCGGTAAGAAAAATACATTTCGAATTCGAAATGAATTAAAATCATTCGAGTAAGTTCATTTCGAATAAACTCATATTTCATAGTCACTAGAACTAATTAGAACATTGGTTAAAAATGACATGAAAATCTATCAACATTCAACGCATTGTCCATCAGCGATACAATGGTTTCTTGATGAAAATCCTGCCTATTGGCCTTTTATTCCTAGCAAAATGACCGAAGCAGAAGAACAAGACGAAGAAAAAGAACTAGTACAGTAAGAATTATCCTTCTTCTATTCTTGTCCTAGTCGTATACATAAGAATGAAACAGTTACACCGCTGAAACGGATCGCTT